TTAAATGATAGCCTTGCTGGTTACAGTAGTTTTGGTTTAGGGTCCTTATTTTTCATCACATTGAATGTTTCATGCCAGTCCCTTCTGGCTTGCAAATTTTCTGTTGAGAAGTCAGCTGACAGTCTTATGGGAACTCCCTTATAAGCTACTAGTTGTCTTTCTCTTGCTGCTTTTAGGATTCTCTCTTTGTCTTTATACTTTGTAGTTTTAATTATAATGTGTCTAGGTGTGGACCTATTTAGGTTCATCCTGTTTGGGACTCTCTGTGCTTCCTGGGCTTGTATGTCTATTTCCTTTGCCAGGTTAGGAAAGTTTTCGGTCATTATTTCTTCAAATAGTTTCTCAATCTCTTGCTTTCTCTCTTCTCCTTCTGGTACCTCTATAATGCAAATGTTACACTTAAACTCATTTTTTTATTCTTTCTTTCTTTATTTATTTTTGCTGTTCTGTTTGGGTGTTTTCTATTACCTTGTCTTCCAAATCACTGATTCGATCCTCTGCTTCATCTAGTCTGCTGATGATTCCTTCTAGTGCATTCTTCATTTCAGTTATTGTATTCTTCACTTCTGACTGGTTCTGTTTTATGGCTCCTATGTCCTTTTTTATGCTTATGATCTCTTTTTGAAGTTCTCACTAAATTTCTTGAGCATCCTTATAACCATTGTTTTGAACTCTGTCTCTGGAGGCTGCTTACCTCCATATCGTTTAGTTCTTTCTTAGGATTTTTCTCCTGTTCTTTCATTTGGGACTGGTTTCTTTGTTTCCTCATTTCAGCTGCCTCTCTGTGGTGTTTTTTTTTTTCTTTCTATGTTTTAGGAAGATCTGCTATGTCTCCCAGTCTTGGCTGAATGGCCTTATGTAGTAGGTGTCTTTTGGGGCCCAGTGGCACAGTCTACCTGGTCACCTGATCTGGGTGCTCCAGGAGTGTCCCTTGTGTGGGTTGTGTGTACCCTCCTGTTATAGTTGAGCCTTGATTTCTATTGGCACGTCAGTGGGTAGGATTGACCCTGAGGCTGACTGGATGTGGGGTTTACATCCACAGTTTACAGGCAGTTGTGTGGGGGGCTTACCCCACTGAGTAGGATTTGCCCCATCAGGCTCTGGTGCCTGTTGAGAGCACCCTTTGTGTGTGTGTTGCTTGTGGGGCTAATTGGGTGGTGTTCTGCTGTGGTCTGAAGCCAACCTCCAAGTATGTTGGTTCTGGGGCCTCCTGGGTGGGGCTACACTACAAAGCAATTGGCAGTTGCTTGCTGCCTATGCTAAACGTGGAGGTGCGTGGGAGAGGCCACACTATGAATGGAGGATGTCTGCTACCAGTACTGAGCCTGGGGTAGTTCCACAAAAATCCAAGGCACCCCGATGCCTTCTGCTACCAGCCAACTCCCTTAAGGTTCAGCCGCTGGTATAGCCTTGTGTGGTATGTGAGTTGGGTGAGGCAGGGTCTTGGAGTCACTAGAGTGGGAAGAGTTGTGGTCACCAGGTTAATGTAAATTCTGGTTTGGTGCCAGTGCTAAGCCTGGAGCTACTCAGCAAAAGTCTCAGAGCACACTGATTCCAGTCGCTGCCAGATAGGGGCCTGCCAGACTCCAGTAGTTTTCGAAGAAAGATTGAAATTCAGGTGGGGCTGGCTGCTCAGGGAGAAAGTGCCTCCAGCTGTGCATGATTTGGGTGCGGCAGGGTCCCAGTGAATTAGCAGAATGGAGCAGCAGAGCTCATCAGGCCAATCAGATTCAGATTTGGCTGTGGTGGGGTGGGCTCAACACAGGAAAGATGGCGCCTGCCTGCTGACAGCATAGGAGGAGGAGTTCACACAGGGAAAAATGCCTACCATTCCCCAGTCCTCCCCCTGAGGTCACGCGCCTCAGTCTTCCCCTGCATATGTCTTCAACGCATCCTGAGTCACTGTCCTCTGCTGGAGGCCAAGGTGAGTGACTGGGAGTAAGAGAATCTGTGTGCAGGCCCTTTAAGAGGATTTCTGGGTTTTTCACAGTCTTCTGTTCCATCCAGACAGTTGGAATGCCACTGTTTTTCACAGTCAGATGTTGTGGAGGCTCCTCTTCCTGGTGTCAATACTCTGGGCCGGGGAGCCTGGTGTGGGGGGCTGAGGTCCCTTGCTTCTCCTGGGGGAACCTCTGTAGCCAAGATATCCCTCCTGACTCTCAACCACCACATGGAGGTTTGGGGCCTGTTCTGTGTCGCCGCCTGTCCTACCAGTCTCAACATGGCTTCTTTATATTTTTAGTCATAGGACTTTTGTTCAGCTAGACTTCAGATGGTTCTTCAGGTTGATTGTTCTATAATATAGTTGCAATTTTTTTTTTAGTTTTTTTTTTTTAATTGGGGAATCGGGAAAAGGGAACAGACAAGTTGCTGTCCTTTTGTTCTTCAGTCTAGTTGTGGAGGACGTCGCTTCACTGGGCCCTGTTGGTATTACCATTGTGGTCTTCCTGGGTGAGGCAGTTGCTCACCGGTCATTGGACGGCCGCTCTCGGTAGCTCACGGCAGCTCATGAAAGCTCACGCCAGCTGCCGGGCAGCCCCACTGAAGCCCACACCATCGCCGGCCACTCCAGCAGCCCAGCTCCAGGTTGAGCTGTTGTTCACCATCTTAGCTGTAGAGGGCAGTGTCACTGGCCCTCATGTGGGATCCGAACCGGGGCCCTGCTGTTCAGAGCTGGCATCCCAAGCCAACTCCTAACCAACACCCCACTTGGCCGGCACAATATAGTTGTAATTTTAATGCGTTCATGAAAGGATGCAGGCATGTTTATCTACTCCACCATCCTGGATCTCTGGATGTCATTTCCTGCATCATTATTACCAGCTGTATATTCTGTGCCCCAGAAATCACAGATGTGCTGTCTATAGGGAATCCCAATACCATCGTCTGGACAAGATATTGGGATTATTAAATCATAACAATCTCTTTTTACTGTTTATTTATAATAAAGTATTTTAGAGCATCTATCTACTATGAATAATTAGTTCTTTGTGTTTTTTTCTTATCCTTCCCTTTTCATTTTCTAACATATTCTTCCCATCAATATCTTCTTTTCTTTCATTCTTATTTTCCTATTTTCCTTTTTATTAGTCAAATTGTCCCTTTTTTCTTCTTTTCTCATTATTCTCTTCTCTTATTTCTCTTGTATTGTTCAATGGCAATCAACTTGATTTTTCCTATCACATTTTCTTATCTGTCTTCCTAATTTCTTCATTTCCCTTATGTTTCTTTACTTACACCATCTTCATTTTAATTTTTCTGTCTCTTCATCCATGTAATATTCACATTCATTATTGCAGCTGAGTACATATTCAATATTTTTTAAAGCGTTATTGAGATATAACTTACATACCATCCAATTCACCCATCACAATCAATTTTAGATCATTTAAGTTACTCCAAAAAGAAACTCTGTATGCCTTAGCTATCACCTCCCAGTCCTCACAAGTCTCCCAGTCCTAGGCAACCACTAATCTACATTCTGTCTCTGTAGATTTACTTATTCTGGACATTCCATATAAATGGAACCATATAATATGTGGTCCCTTTTAATTGGTTTCTTTCACTTAGCAAGTTCATCAATATTGTAGCATGTATTAGCATTTTTTATTGCAGAATAATATTCCATTGTATGGATATACCACATTTATTTATCCATTCATCTGCTGATGACTATTTGGGTTGTTTCTACTATTTGGTTATATTATAAATAATGCTGCTATGAATATTCTTCATGTAAAAATTTTTGTGTGGACATGTATTTTCATTTCTCTTGTGCATATACTGAGGAGTGGAATTGCTGAATCATATAGCAACTTCAAGTTTAACCATTTGAGAAACTGCCAGATTGTTTTTCCAAAATGGCTGCACCACTGTACATTCCCACTTGCAGTATATTTTATTTTTTCACCATTAAAATATTTATTAAAACCAAAACAGGGGGGAACAGAGCGGTTAGGAAGGCAAATCAAAGTGCAGATTGGAGGCTGGGGCAGAGCAAGAAGTGGGGTAAGGGGGGCACTTCGAATGCCACAGGAGGGGCCTCTGTGGTCTGGGCTACAGGGGAGGCCCTTCACCCACCCCTCCCGCCCACTGTGTCAGTGAAGGTCCCCCACTCACCTCCCATCTACATCCATCCTGGGGGTGAGGCCAGAGCCCTGCAGTGACCTCCCTTAGGGAGAGACCACCTCCTCCATCCACCCATGTCTGTCAGTCAGTCAGTCAGTCTGTCTCCCTCTCCCAATAAATAAACCGCTCAGGCCTCAGCTCCTTCAGAGTGGGGCAAAGAACAGCTCTGGGACGCCTGCCCTGACTCAGGGGTATAGGGAGCTGAGACATCAGCCCCACATCCCTCCTACCCTTTACTGGGGCCTCAGGCTTGCCAAAGAGGCCTGGATAAATAAATAACACTCCATTAAAGGTTTCCAATATCTCCATAACTTTGTCAACACTTACTACTATCTATCTTTTTAATTATAGCCATCTTAGTGGGTCTGAAGTAGGATCTAATTGTGGATTTAACTTGCATTTCCCTGATGGCTATATTAAATATTTTTTAATTACCATCACACAAAAAATGCTAAAAATGTTTTCCAAGGGCCATAGAATGTCACTAAAAAATTATAATTTTTTATTGTACACAGGAAGATTAGGGACTATAGATTGAGGAAATTTTTTGTATTATTAATTTCATGCTCTTAGCCTTGTTTCTAAGTCTCAAAGTAAGCAGTAAAGCAGATTTAGATTAAGGCATAAGAATAAAGTCTGACAATAAAGAATACCTGTCTAATTTCTTTTTTTTCTACTTTTAGATCATCCCATTTTTATCTTTCTCCCTCATCTATTCTTCTTTTCTTTCTAGACAATTAATAAATACTCATTTTGAAGGGGGAAGGAAACTATGTTTGTGACCCCTAGATTAAAGATGGGAGTGGGAAATACTAAAAAGAAAAATATATGGTGCCTGCCCTTGTTCCCCAAGAATAGCAACAGGTATTTACTCATCAAAGTTCAGTGTATTTGTCCAGTTCAGTACTTCATCCACTTCCCAATCCATCACAGAATCTACTCCACCACCTTCGATAACCTTTATTAGCCCTTCTGTTGCTTTGTGAATTAAATCTGTAGTTTCACTATTTGTTGACTTAGCCTTCAGGTTTCCTGTGTAGTACCTAAGTAGAGGAAAGGAAGAGAGACATAAATCCTTGGGAATAGGTGATTACTAGTAGATGGAGGTAATATATATTGTTGCTGTAAAACTATTTAAATATTAAACCAAGTTTCCATCCTACTTAACTCAAATATCTCTAAGCATAGTTCTATGTGATGGAATCTTTTAGAAAAACCAAAGTTACTTAATCAACCACACTAACCAGAGAAGGCTTATTTCCAAATCACCTATAACTAAGTTGGATTTTTATGATACAAAGGAAAACTAAGTTAGTTATTACATCACTTAATCATAAAATTATAGAATCAAAGGATCTTGGGGACAAAATAATTAGCCCACTTTTTTTATAGATAAGGAAATAAATCCTGGAAGAGTTAGTAACTTTTACAAGATCACGTGGCTAATGGTAAGTCAGAAGAGGAAAGGAGAGGGGAAAAAGGAAAGAGAAAGAGAGGAAGAGGTAAAGAGAAGAGAGATACTGACATTTTTCTTTGTGTTGGGTACTTTTCATACATTTTCTTGTTTAATTCTCTTTAAAAAGACAGACATTTGTGACAGTTATTTTGATTCCCATTTTATGGATGAGGAAATTGAGACTTAGAGAACTTAGGAAACTGTTTAAGATCATGTATGTAGTAAATATATATCAGAGCCAGTATTCAAATATGACTCCAAGTCCAGACTTCTATAGCACTGTTCTGTCTTGCATCAGTCTGAGCACAAAAATTAATGCATCCCCCTAACATGAGCTGAGTGAGCAGACAGAGGTAGGTAGTCCTTACCAAGATTATTTAAATATAGCATTTTTTGTTTTGTTTTTTCACTTTAAGATCTATTGGTATTCCTTTCTAAAGGTTAACTTATTCTGACATTGTATTTATTTATTAATTTGACACTTATTTGGAAGTGGCACAGTGGTGGTGTAGAGCTAGAATTTGGTATCAAACTATCTGGCTTTGAATCTTCTGTGATTTACTAGCTGTACAACCTTTGCCAAAAGATTTAAGGAAGCCTTTCTTCCTTAAAATGGTAATCATAATACTTCCTCCTCCTAGCATTCTTGAGAGTTGTAGAAGTGCAAATCCCTGTAAGCATTTACATAGTAAGCAATTCAAAAAAAAGAAGGCTTATACAATACTGGGTGGCAAGGGATGTGACAGTGACAAGATTATGTCCCTGCCCTCATGAAGTTTCTGCTTTGTCAAACTTTAAATGGATCATGAGAACTAATGCATTTTATAGAAACAGGAACATGCTTCTTGCTCTATATTGGTTAGCAGGAGCACAAATTTTAAGAAAGTATGATTCACAATTTTCTACAGTTCTTCATTCACTTATTCATTTAATAACTATTTATTGAGTGTCCACCACTTGCAAAGCAATCTATACAGAGGTGAAACTCCTTCATGGAACTTCCAATCTTCCACTTCTATACTCTATTCCCTAAACATAATAGGCACTCAATAAACATGTATTGAATGAATGAATAAATAAATGATGGTACCCACTGGCCCAGATTTATTAACTAATGCTCATGTCACAACAAAAATGCATTTGGAAATTGGAAACTTCTAGAAGTCTGGGAATTAATGCATTTTTTATGAGTTGCTCCATGTTTTACCTCCCCAAATACACAAACACTTAGGATTAGATTTGGAAACCTGGGTGATATTAATTTTTCCTTTTACAAGTGATATAAACAATTCAGATATCTATTTTACTCTGAGACCACTTTTTTTCTTTTTATTTTTTTATTGTGAAATACACATTTTTTACTGAGACTTCACTTTTAAAGAGAGATATAATACATATTCAAGTAATTTAATTGTTTTGAACTGTTTAGTCACTATTTATAGTTTAATGGGCTATAGGAGTCATAAAACAACAGGTTAGCAAGTAGAACAGAATTTCAAATACAATAGAGATTAAAAACAAACATCACTTTATAATAATCATAATTTGCTTTATAGAAAGCAATATAGGGCTGGCTGAGTGACTTGTTGGTTAACGGTTGGCTTGGGAGTACGAGCTCTGAGCAGCAGGGCTGCTGGTTTGGATCCCACATGAGCCAGTGAAGCTGTGCCCTCTACAGCTAAGATGGTGAACAACAGCAGCTCGTCCTGGAGCTGGGCTGCTGTGAGTGGCGGACGACGGTGTAGGCTGCAGGGGAGCTTCAGTGGGCTACCGTGAGTGGCCGACAGTCAGCATGAGCGAGAGCCGCTGTGAGTGGCAGTCCAATGGCCGGCGAATGAGTGCCTCCGCCAGGAAGAGCACAATGATCACAACACCAACATGGGCCAGTGAAGCAGTGTCCTCCACAACTAGACTGAAGAACAAAAGAAGTAGCGGGTTGCTGAATAGAGTGCACATAATACAAACATATGTATTCTCCTGAGCCTTCAGAAGTCCTTTTTCTACAGCATACCACACCAGTCCAGGCATTTTGTGACTATAGAACTTTGGTTGAGTTCAGGCTGTGATTAGCCAACATAACAGTCTATTAATACCACGTCTGGGTACTCAAGCCAACACATTAAATCCATAATCCCAGGTGTGTGTGTGACCAGTTCAATAAATTCAGCTCAATCAACTCTTGATCTAACAACTTTAAAATCCACTCTCATAATGAGGCTCCTATCAATATAGATGGGTAAGTTCTTGTACCTCTTTTGGTTTATAAGCCATCTCCTCCTGGAGTAGACCTTTTCCCTCTGTCTGGGTTGTTCTGAGCTATAACTCTCACTGAGCTATAACTCTTACTGTGAGCTGCAGGCAATGAGAAATGGTTGTGGGGGAATCCTAACAATCAGCATAAGTGTGCAAGGCAACTGTGCCATGTGGTCATTGAAAGGCTTTTGTGCAGAGAAGGGTTCCCTCAAAATAGAGAGGAAGGTTTCCTTCACCAACAGGGAGTTCGAAGGTTCAAGGTTCTTAGCCTTGTCTATATCTGATCCAAAGTCCCCATTCTAAGTCTCCAGCTTCCCCTTCTTCCCCACTAGTGCCCTTACCTCAGTGCACAAGACCTGACGGGGTTAAGCATTTGGTTGCACTGTAGGCACTGTAACCCTGTGACCCTAGCAACTAGACCCTGGGTTGCCTTCAACTCACCCTGCAACTACAGGAGATGAAGGCCTGCTTCTTGGAGATCTTCTGATTGTCTGCACATGTTCTTTTAAAATTTTTACAACTTTATTGAGGTATAATTGATGTACAGTAAATATATTTAAACTGTACAAGGTGAAGAGTTTTGACAGTTTCTAATTGTTACTGGAATATGACAATATAATTACTTTCTATATCTCACAACCTTGATAAACTCATTTCTTAGTTCTAGTAGCTTTTTTTTGTAGATGCCTTAGGATTTTGTATGTAGATAATCATGTCAACTGTGAATACTGTTTTAGTTCTTCCTTTCCAATTTCAGTGCCTTTTTCTTCCTAGTTTCTTGCTTTATGTGACTGACTTGGACTTCCAGTACAATGTTGTCAAGAGGTTGTGAGAACAGACATCCTTGCCTTGTTCCTGATTTTAGAGAAAAAGCATTCAGTCTTTCATCATTAAGTATAATGTTAGCTATAGGTTTTTTTTATAGATGCCCTTTATCAGGTTGAGGAAGTTATCGTTTATTCCTATTTTGCCAAGAGTTTTTATTATGAATTGTTGGAGTTTTGTAAGTACTTTTTATGCACCTATTGAGAGGATCATACCTAATTTCCTTTTTAAGTCTGTTAACATGATGAATTGCATTGACTGATTTCCAAATGTTAAGCCAACTTTGTATTCCCCGGGATAAATTCCAATTTTATTATCCTGTATCTATGTGCATGAGAGATACTGGTTGTTATTTTTTTGTAATATCTTTTTTATTCTTATAAGCCTTGAGTATTTTTATATCTGATAATACCTTATAGAAGTTGTTGGGATGCGTTCCCTCCTTTTTCTGGAAATATTTGTGTAGACTTTGTATAAGTCTTTCTTAAATGCTTGCTAGAATTTACCAGGAAATCCATCTGGGCCTTGAGTTTTCTTTATAAGAATTTTTTAAAACTGCAAATTCAAATTCTTTAATAGACATACAACTATTCATGTTATTTTTGGTTGCTTTTGAGTGAGCTTTGGTTTATGTCTTTCAATGAATTATCCTTTTGCTTAATTTATTAAGTTGCTTATAATACATATAGTGTCTTAATGTCTGTTGGATCTATAGTGATAGCTCTGCTTTCATTTCTGATGTTTCTGATTTACATGCGTTTTCTCTCTTTTTAAAAATTTATTAACAGGTTTATAAACTGTATTGATCTTTTCAAAGGACAAAAGTTTTGATTATTGATTTTCTCTGATGGTTTTCTGGTTGCAATGTCATTGATTTATGCTGTTATCTTTAGCATTTGTTTCTTCTATTTGCTTTGGGTTTAATTTGCTCTTCTTTTACTGGTTCTTATGCTAGAAGCTTAGATTATTGATTTGCGATCTTTCTTCCTTTTTAACATAAGTATTTAATACTATAAATTTTCCTGTACATATTGCTTTAGCTGCATCCTCAAATTTTGGTATGTTGTATTTTCATTTTCATTAAATCAAAAATATTTTCAAATTTCCCTTGTGACTTCTTTGACTTATGGATTATTTAGAGGTATGCTGTTTAATATACAAATATTTGGAGGTTTTCTAGAAATGTTGTTATTAATTCTATTTTTTTAAATTTCTTTTTAATTCTATTGTGATCAGAGAACTTCCTTTGTCTGATTTTTAATCTTTTACATCTGTGGATGTTTGTTTTATAGCCCAGAATATGGTTTATCTTTGTGAACTTGAATAAAAATGTATTTTCTGTTGTTGAGAGCAGTGCTCTATAAATGTCAGTTATGACAAAAATGTCAAGTTGGTTGATGATGTTGCTAAAATCTTCTGAATCTTTACTAATGTATTGTCCACTTGTTATATTAATTACTAAGAAAAGGGTTTTGAAATCTCTGATTATAATTTTGGATTTGTCTTTTTCTCCTTTCAGTACTCTTGGTTTTGTTTCATGTATTTTTTTTTTAATTTTATTGGGGAATTGGGGAAGGGGAACAGTGCTGGGGAATTGGGGAAGGGGGAAGAGCCAAGTTGTTTTCCTTCAATCTTAGTTGTGGAGGGCGCAAGTCCAGTTGCCATCTGGCTGCCCGTCGGCAGCTCACAGCTGCTCAGCTCAAGGTGCCGTGCTCAATCTTAGTTGTGGGTGGGCATAGCCCACCAGCCCATGCGGGAGTCAAACTGGCAACCTTGTTGTTAGGAGCACGTGTTCTCACCAGCTGGGCCATCCTGCCACCTGTGGGCAGCTCAGCGGCAGCTCAGCTCGTGCGCAGCTCACTGGCCTGTGTGGGAATCGAACCGGCGACCCTATTGCTCAGAGTTCACTCTCTTAATTCTCTTAACCAACTGAGCTGGCCCTGCTTCATGTATTTTGAAGCTCTGTTATTAGGTAAACAAGCATTTAGGATTGTTATGTCCTCTTGATGAATATACCCCTTTATTATTTTAAGTGACTGCCTTTATCTCTGGAAATATACTTTACTCTGAAATCTACTTTGTTTTATATTATTATAGTCACTTCAGCTTTCTTTTGATTACTGTTAGCATGATCCTTTTCCATGCTTTACTTTTCATCTATTTATGCTTTACGTTTAAAGTTAATTCTTGCATATAATATACAGACCATTTACATTTAATTTGATTATTGATATTGGTTTTAATCTACATCATGCTATTCGTTTTCTATTTGTCCTGTCCTTTGTTTCCTTTCCTCTTTTTTAAAGACTTCTCTTGGATTGATTGTTTTTTATGATTCTACTTCATCTCCATTATTAGCATATAATGGAGGTTTATATCTTTGTTGTTACTGTTGATGTTATGGTTGCCTTAGGATTTATATACATCTTTAATTATCATGGTCTACATTTAAGCAATATTATACCACTTCTTAAGTAGTATAAGGAACTTCTAACAGTATATTTCCATTTCACTTTTCCTAACCTTTGTAGTATTGTTATCATATATTTTACTTCTGCACTGATGTAAATTTATAAATATCACAATACATTGTCATTATTTCTGTTATAAATAGTAAATTACCTTTAAATTTTTTGAACTTTATTTAGTAATTGGATCATATGTTTTTTCAGTTATTTTTGTAACTATTTACTTGTAATGTCCGGGAAAAAAATGAGCAATTATATTTTGTTTGAAATGAAGATTTTCAATATAAGAGAAGTACAATTGTGAAATCAAGAATTTAAGTAGAACTTGATTGGCAATATCAATATTAATTCATTCCTTTACAAAAAACTGTTAATATCTATCTTTTTAAAATTGTGGTAAAAAAATACGTAACAAAACTTACCATCTTAACTATTTTTAAGTGTAAAGATCTGGAGTTAGTTATATCTTTTTAAAAGATTTAAATAGTAAGAAGAAAAGTCCTTTATATTTACTTACATAGTTACCATTTTTGGTGTTCTGCATTCTTGTATGGATCCAGATTTCTACCTAGAATAATTTTCTTCTGCCTGAACCTCCTTTGATTTCTTGTAGTGCTGGTCTGTCTGTTCATGATGAACTCATGAACTAAAAAGGTTTTCTTTCATATTATTTAAAAAATATATTTTCAGTGGATTGGTTGCTATTGATTAATTTGTCTTCTCAGATGGAATTATTTTCCTGCCCCTTTACATGCCCAGTAATTGATTACTATATGGTAGATGCTGAATTTTCTATGATTTTAAGTACTGGAGTAACTTGCATTCCCTTAAATATATTGGGGTTTTGTGTTGGTATGCAGTCAAGTAAACTTGGAAACAATTTGATTTTTTAACACTTGCTTTTAACATTTGTTAGATAGGTCTAGAATGACTTCTAGTGTAATCCACACAGTCAGTCTCTTAGGGCAGAAAGAAGGGTTGAATAGGGTATAGAGTGGGTCTGGAAGGCCAAAAGAGAGTTATCTGATACATAAGAGTAAATGCTTATTTTCACATCTGATGTTCCAATAGATTGTGATTTCCTTGAGGTCAAAGACAACTTTTCTTTTCCATTTATATCCTGGAGATTAATAGTAGCTGGTACATAATAGGCATTCATTAAATATTTGCTTTCTATGTATTTTTAAAAATATAATTGTAACCTTACATTTTCCTTTAAAAATAACATGAGTATTTTAGTAGTGATAACAATTTTTAAAAAAATTTAAAGTACTGTATACTTCTTTAGTAAGTCTAAATATTCCATCAACTTACATTTGTTTCATCCATTCTATTTTTCTAGTTTTTCTTTTCTTTTCCATATCTTGCCTTCTCTTCAGTTTAGAAAAATGAAATTTGGTTTCCTTTTTATTTCCCACCATTACATCTTCAGTAGACATCCAAAACTATTGAGAAATTTAAAAAGAATATTAAAAATGTTGAAATACTGATTGTGAGGTTATCTGGCTATATGTACACAAGAACTTCTGTGTGTTCAGTAGGAATATGACAAGATAGAAACAGAGGAGAAGACAGACTCTTTTAAGGTATTTCTTATCCAGTAATGGGTGAATAGCACATTGAGCCTTCAGAGGTACAATGCCACACAAAGACTGACTAAGTACTAGTGTACTGAAGTACTTAATAAGTATTTGTTGAAGGAATAAATGAATAGACATATTCTATGAGTGTTTCTCATAAGAACAGACCTGACCTACTCAGTGCTGTCGTCTTTTGAAGACTCTAATCCTCAAAAATTATAGGCACCCTCCAAGAACACAGAAGTCTTACCAGTATGTCCCAAGTTTGTGGTTTCCCGTGTATGACACTTTATCCTAACTGGTTGCCTATTTTCCTACTTCTGATTCATTCCCCTTGCCCCACTACACACATTAAATAACAAGGAGGAGAGTTTGTTACCCCCCACAACACTCTGTATTTGCCACTATTAAAACACATATTTACTGCACTGTACTGAAATATCCTGTTTACTGACTGTCTCTCTAACTAAAAGGCAAACTCAATGGGGAGGGATTATTCTAATATACTATTGTATCCCTAGCATCTAGTACAATGCCTGACACATGCCTCATTGGTATGCAACAAAGTTTGTTGAATGAATGAATGAATGAATGAATGCACACCTTGATAATTTTCAAGTTTCATACTTACTATATTCAACATACCACATTCTACAATCTGTCTACCACAGACTGATGATTTCAATGAAGACACTTGAGGCCATATAAATAGACATCTAGAGCTAAGAAACCAGACCATGTTAACCTATAAAATGTAAGCTTACAAATATCCTTAGGTAGAAATTACATCCACAAAAAAGAGATTAAACATGGGTGTCAATAGAAAAGTCTATGAATCATATATACACATTAGGAACAATGTATACTTAAAATAATTCTGCTCAATTAATATGAATACATGTTAAACTCCCCAACACCACAAAAATCCAAATGATTTCCTCTGCTCTTACAAGCTCTATAAGAGAAAATGTCATATTGTTCCCAAGAACTTCCACCTCTAGTCCAAGGATTAATATAGAGTCAACAACATCTGTACATTTGCTTTGTTATAAAGATGGTAAACTGCTGAGTACTAGAGAGTATCTAAAGATGGCCTAGATAAAAGGTAATTACTAAAAGTAAAAATAAGTGTAAGAAAAATAAGATATATTCCTGTATCTTGAAGTACTACTACTAACCCCAGAGTAGTTAACTTAAGCAATTTTTATCAGCTAAGTTACTAGGATTTATTATTTATAAAAATAATTTTTAAAAAGACAAATTGGTTTCTAAATAGGTAAGGTTCAAAATTATTAATATTTCTTTTTTCTTACTCTATCAGAAACAGGCCTCCAGCCATTGTTCTCTATGCGACGATACCAGCCACTATGATCCTCTTCTTGAAGAGCATCACTTTTAATATGAGATGCACATTTTGCTGCAAGTTTTGTATAATCTCTAGGGCTATTAGCACACAAATCTTCAACATGTCTCTGAGTGAAAATTTTATAGTATATTTCAGGTGGAAATTTAACCTGTAGATGGAAACATTCAAAGAACCATTGAAATCTAATTACAAAACTGGCTTACATATTTTTAAAATTACATCTTTTAAATTTCATATTAATGTGTTTTAAAACTACCAAATAAGAATTCATCCATACTTACACCACCTAATCTGAATCGCACATGAATGCCAGCAGCAGCATCTAGAAGTTCTGCCTATAAAAATGTATATATTACTCTTCAACATTCTGTCAATATCAATTCACTACTTCTCACTCTATCATGTTAAAATAGTTGCTGAATGTTGATTATTTATGAAATAGGTCAAGTGAATAAACCTCAAATAATTATTTTTAAATTAGAAAATATTTTAAGACTTAATTTCTTATGGGAATCCAATAAGTAAAACAGCTTACATGATAACTGGAAAAATAATACCAAACTATGTTTCCTTTCTATGCAATATATAAGTATAAAAGGCAAGTGATTTGTTGTTCATAACACAAAGGTTTTAAATGAGTCCTCAAATATTTGATTTACATATTAAATATTATCTAGCAGGTAAACTCAGAGGAAAAAAATTGTGATTGGTCAGTCTGAGTTTAACACCATATGACCTAACTAGCTTTTATTAAATCAAAAATCCATGTTTAAATTTTGTAAGAATTATATATAATCAGTCTTCTAAATTTTAGTTCACTGGACCAAATGGAAAATAAAGCAGAAAAATGTTTGGCCCTCTATCAGAACCTTGTCTCCTTATAATATTAAGTTAGATGAGAGAATAGATGTTTTCCTAAATCTTTCAGTCTATAAAGCTTGAAAAACAACATTAGTTTTGCATAATTTTCTCCTGAGTAAAAATTATATATATGTTAATTCTTTAACCTTCTATCATCTACAGACTCAACTAGGGGTGCTGTGTTGGCTGTGTATTTGAGGCAATTTCCTCCCATCCAGCATGACTTTGTCTCCTAATGAGAGGTTATGGGAGATTTCATTTGGCGGAACAGTGTTATTTAAAATGGATTTAGATTAGTTATAAACGCACTCTGCAAACTCTAAGGCAACCAAAAAAGCATAAAAAAGAAGTTTCATTGATATACTAAGAGAGGAGAGAAAATCATATAAATCGTTTAACTAAAACCAAAGAAGGCAGAAAAAGAGTGCAAGACAAAAAACAAACAAACAAACAAACAACAACAACAAAAAAAACAAGGGCAACCAACACTTTAGGCAACAAACACTGTTAGGAAATGGTAACAAACATGGTAGATCTCAATCAAATTATATTAATAATCACTTTGAATGTCAGATAAATATACCAATTAAAAGACATACTGTCAGAGTGGATATAAAATAAGACCCAACTATATGTTGTCTACAAAAAAAAATCCACTTTAAATATAAAGAAACAGATTGGTTAAAAACAAAGGGATGGAGAAAGATATAACATATTAATTAACACTAATCAAATAAAAGCTGAGCAGCTATATTAATTATAGACAAAGCTGAAGTCAGAGTAAGAAAAATTACCAGTAACAAAGGGTAGCATTACATGATGATAAAGTGTCAATTCACTAAGAAGGTATAACCATCCCTAATGAGTATGCATCAAAATATGTAATGCAAAAACTAATAGAACTGCAAGGACAACTAGAGGAATCACTATTATAGTTAGGGACTTCAACATCACTCTATCAGTAATTGACAGATTCAGCAATTAAACCTAATAGTACCATCAATCAACTGAATCTGATTGACATTTATAGAACCCTTGATCAACAATAGCAGAATAGGGCCGGCTGAGTGGCTCAGTTGGTTAAGAGCTCACTCAAGAGTTTGAGCTCTGAGCAATAGCTGTTTGATTCCTGGCCTGAGCTGAGCTGCCAACAGGTGGCAGGATGGCTCAGCTTAAAAACAAACAAACAAGCAAAAAACAATAGCAGAATATACATTCTTTTGAAGCTCATATGGATTATTTACCAAGACAGAACACATCCTGGGCCATAAAACACACCTTAACAAATGTAAAAAGAAAAAAAAAATAGAAATCATACAAAGTATGCTCTTTGGCCCCAGTGGAATTAACCAGAAGTAACAGAAAAACAGATGGAAAGCCCCAAAACTTGGAAATTAAACAACACACTTCTAAATAACAAATGGGTCACATAAGAAGTCTCAAGAGAAATTTAAAAATATTTTGAACTAAATGAAATGAAGATACAACTTACCAAAATTGGTCAGATGTAGCAAAAACAGTGATTAGGGAAAATGTATAGCATTGAAGGCATATATTAGAAAACAAGACAAGCCTGAAATAAATAATCTAAGTTTCCACCTTAAGAAATTTGAAAAAGATAACAAACTAAATCAAAAGTAAGCAGAAGAGATTAAATAAAACAATAACAGAAATCAACAAAATTGAAAACAGAAAGCCAATAGAGAAAAGCGAAGAAACTAATAGCTGGTTCTTTGAAAAGATCAGTAAAATCAATATGCTCTGGCCAAGCTAACTAAGAAAAAAAAGAGAGAATAGACAAATTACTGATGTCAGAAATGAAAGGGAGGCCATCACTACTGATTCCATAGACACTACTGATTCCATAAAAGGATAATAAACAAATGCTATGAACAGCTTTATGCCCACAAATTGATAACCTATATAAAATGGATCAATTCCTTAAAGATACAACCTGTCAAAACTCACACAAGAAAAAATAGGCAATCTGAGGAAACCAATATCTATTAACAAAATACAATCAACAATTAACCTTTCAAAACACAAAGCACCACACCCAGATGGGTTCATTGGTGAATTCTACCAAACATTTAAGGAAGAAATTATAGCAATTCTCTATAATCTCTTTCAGAAAATAGTAGCAAAGGGAATACTTTGCAACAGGGCTAGCATTACTCTCATATCAAAACCAGACAGATACATTATAAGAAAGTTAAACTATAGACCAATAGCTCTCATGAACATAGATGCAAAAATTGTCAAGAAAATATTAGCAAATCAAGCCCAACAATGTATAAAAAGAATTATACATCATGAACAAGTGGGATTCATTCCAGGTATGCAAGGCCATTATCACATCACATTTTTGAAGAAACCCAAAATGTTACTTTGAGAAGACATGTGCATCCATATGTTCATTTCAGCATTATTTACAATGGCCAAGATGTGGAGGCAGCCTAGGTGTCTGTCGATGAAATAATGAATAAAGAGGAGATAGTACATATATACAATGGAATATTGCTTGGCCATGGAAGGGAATGGGTTCTTGCCATCTGTAGTAGCATGGATGGACCTGAAGGGTGTTGTGCTGAGTGGAGTATGTCAGACAGAGAAAGATGCAATGTGATTTTGCATATATATGGAATCTAAATAACAAAATAAACAAACAAAACAGAAAGAAACTCATACAGAGAACCTTTTGATGGTTGCCAGATGGGAGGGGGGTTGGGGAGGTGTGTGAAAGAGGGGAAAGGATAAGAAGTACAAATCTGTTGTTACAAAGTAGTCATGGAGATGTAGGGTATAGCATAAGGAATATAGTTATAATATTGTAATAACTATGTATGGTGTCAGATGGGTACTAGATTTATCATGGTGATAGATGGGAGAAGGGTTGGGGGCAGGGTGGAAAAGGTGAAAGGATTAAGAAGTACAAAATAGTCACAGGGATGTAAAGTAAAGCATAGGGAATATATTATAGTCAATAATATGGTAATAACTATGCATAGTGCCAGGCAGGTACTAGACTAGTCAGGGGGATCACTTCTTAAATTATATAAATGTCTAACCACTATGCTGTACACCTGAAATTAATATAAAATAATATTGAATGTCAACTGTAATTGNAAAGGTGAAGGGGAATAAGAGGTCCAAATTTCCAGGGATAAAACACATAAGTCATGGGGATGTAATGTACAGCATAGGGAATATAGTCAATAATATTGTGATAACGTGATACAGTGTAGGATAGTTTCTGGACTTATCATGGTGATCACTTCTTTAGGTATATAGATGTTGAATAACTATGTTATACCCATGATACTAATACAATATTGTATGTTACTATATTTTAATAAAAATCTTAAAACAACACAAAAACAAAATAGTGATTACCTTTAGGAGAAGGGAGTTTGCAGTGATTTGCCAAGCACCTGAAGAAAGTGGTTTGCTTGTAATGTCATTGAGTTACACATTTAAGTTTTATGAACTTTCTACATGTTTGTAATACTTCAATAAAAAAAAGTTTTAAAAAAGGAAAAAATACAAGCGCATTGAATTTACAAAGTACCCACACATTTTTAAGGCAGAAAAAAGATACTATATCAATAAATAATGTCCTTACCTCTTTGGGATTAATGTATCTTACTATCTGACGTGGATCCCCTTGTCTCCTAATGTTAATCACACTTTTAAAGTTTTGGAATACAGCGACATACTAAAGGTTTAAAAACATAAGATTTTATGGTCAAAACTGGGTTTTCTACCTCTAATTTGCTTTTCCCCAATTAGGGCAAAATGAGTAAAAACCATAAAATAGATTATATATATATATATATATATATATATATAAATATATATATAAAATTTTAGAAATATTATCCACTCAGGATTTGCTTTGACAAGTCAGGCAATGTTGCTGTTATTCTCACAGAGTTTTATACTTAAATTTGTAATTGTATCACTAGCAACTATTTAAAACATCCAGGACTTCGGTTGGGTCACTTCTATATACTCCAGAGTAATACAGGAGAAAGGCAAAATACAGCCTAGTGATGAAGAACACTGAATTTGGCATAATATTGTGGCTTCCACTGTTAGTACTTACTGGATGCATGACCCTGGAAAAGCTGCTTAACCTCTCTGCTCAGTTTCTCATCTAAAATATGGGAATGATTGTAGCTATCTCATACAGCTGTGATGAGGAATAAGTGAGTTAATATTTGTAAAGCACTTAGAACAACTTCTGGAATAAGAAAACTCAATAAATATTATCTATTATTATCAGTACACAATGCTCTTCATTCCTTTAGTAATTACACTGACTTACAAACCCTATATGCTTCTCATGTTATCACAAATTTAGTCAAACAACTCCAGACAATTCTTCTGTCTTGGAAAACTATTTATTTAGTTATCCCCTTCTCATACCCTATTCCCCCCTGCAAAACAAACAAACAAACAAACAAAAAAACCTTAATAATTCTTGGTAACCAACCCCCAACACACACATCTAGTTTGCTTCTGTTAAGTCAAATCAAATCAATTCAAGCTGAAGTAATCCAAAGCACCCATATGACAACATGAAGCCCCACTGCAATTGCCTATCGAAGATGGTGCAGCCCCCATCAACACAAATAATATTCTTTCTGAAAGGAAGATACAATCCCCCCTAAGTAAAACCCCAAATTGAGTATCAAGAAAAGTTTATGATGGTTTGAAGTTTCAGTAGTCTCTTCTAAATATATAGATTACTGTTATCAAACAACCCCAAAACTCAGTGACTTAAAGCAGCAACTACTTTTTGTGGGTTGACAAGGAAGTTCTGCTGGTTTTGCTTGAACTCACATATGTGGCTGTATTCAGCACCAGATCAGCTGGAGCTGGGTGATTTAATATGGCCTCGCATTCATATCTGGGTCTTTATCTTGGATTGTCGGAATGTCTGGGATGGCTGGATCTCTCTCTCCCCATAGACTTTTAGTTTGAGTTGTTTCAGAGCAATGGAGATTTCAAAGTACCAAAGAGAGAGAGAAAGCAGAAGTTGCAAGACTTCTTAAAGCCTTATCTTGGAAGTCATACAGCATGTTATTCTGCATTTTATTGGTGAAACTCAGTACCAAGCAGGCCTCAACAGCTCAAGTTCAAAGTGTGACCTATAGGAAGTTCCATGTATACTATGGCCTCATTCAGGGGCGGTCCTGAACAACTGGGATGAAGATAAGTCCTTCCAGGGGACAGAACCTCAAGCAGCATACATGGTTGTGTATTGGCCAGGTACAGATCGACAGATGGGCAGTGACTGATGGTTTGGCTGGGTGGTCAGGGATTTGGAAAGAACATGGTTAGAAAATTGGTGACAAGAAGGTCTGGAGAAGAGGTCAACCACCCCACCCTCAAATGCACACCAAGTGTGAAGATATTTGTGTCCCATGTGAATACTCACCAAAGAGCAATCTCAGCAAAGAAGAATTTTAAGAATTACGTGCGCAAGATGACTAATTCTTTGGAGTCAGTAAGCCTTTTTCCCCTAACCACTGCTCTTCCTTGCCCAATGGGCTAATGAACAAAGTGGCCATGGCAGCCGGTATGGTGCTTATTCATGGGCTCAGCAACATGGATTTCTACTCACCATATCTGGCTACTGCCACTGTAGAGTGCTCACTTTGCCAAAACGTTGACCAACACTGAGTCCCTGATATGGCATCATTCCTTGGGGGAACTAGCCAACTTCCTGTGGCATACTGATTAGTTGGAACACTTCCTTATGGGAAGGGCAACACTATTCTCACTGGAATTGATTGATACTTTACCCTTTCATGTGCACAATGCTTCTACAAAACCACCATCTGTATACTTTCAAAATGTTTTATTCACTGTCATAGTATTCCACATAGCATTGCTTCTGATCAGTGAACTTGCTTTACAGCAAATATAGTATATCAATGGGCCCATGATAATGAAATTCACTGATATTACCTTGTTCTCCATCATCCTAAATCAACTGGCCTGAAAGAATGGTGGAATGGCATGTTAGAAACTCAGTTACAGTTAGATTTCCAGTGATAACACTTTTCAGATTAGGGTGACTTCCTCCATGTTATAGTATATATATGATCTGAAGCAATAACCAACATATGATGCTATTTCTCCCACAGCCAGCATTTATGAATCTGAGAATCAAAGAGTAAAAATGAAAGTGGCCCCTTCTCAATATTACCTCCAATGAACCATTAGTGAAAATATTGCTTCCTGTCCTAGATTTTCGGGCTCTGTGGATATAAAAGTCTTAGCACCTACAGGAGGAATTTTTCCACCAAGGTACACACCAATCGTTTGGTCTACATGATCTTGTAGATCAATGAACTTCTTTAAGAAGAATATTCTGAATTCTTTGTCAGACAGTTCATAGATCTCCACTTCTTTATTAGATTTTTAGTTATTAGAGCTTTATTAGGTTTTTTTTGTGGTGTCATGTATTTGATATATATATATATTCAATAAAGGACTTGTAGTAAGGCTATATGAAAAATTGCTTCAAGTGGATATTGACAATGTAATAGTAGAGGTGATAGAACTTGGAGGTTAGAACATTGGGAGGATATGTGAAGAAAAAGGTAGGGATATTTATATTCTCATCATAGATGAGTTGTCAAGTAATCCTATGTTAGCATGATGGAACAAGAAGCAAAGGTTTAAATATTCTTTAAAACAGTAAGGTAACAAATAGAGGAGCTAAAAAATAATGATTATAATACTGGGAGGGGAGATAAGCACGGTTGTAGAAGATAAGATAAATTCTTCATCTTTCCAGAAAGTCAACAGATCATTTCTAAACTTAATAAGTAAAAATAACTATACAAGCATATTATTTAAAAGCATGGAACTAACTACTACAAGACCTAAAACAAAAAATAGTTTAAAGTGGTTGCTTTTAGGGTACAAGGGTGGAAAAGAGTGGGGTGGCATAAGACTTGCTTTTTAGTGTACGTTCTTCTACATTATTTTACTTATTATAAAGAAGTTCACATTATTACTTTGATAAAAATATTTAAAATGATAGAAAAAAGCCTGCATTTACATTATGATCACTATGCAAATCATTCACCAATAAGGCCAAGTAATATGCTAAAACTATGCATCTTTATTTAGAAGTCACCCTGTGGGCTACTTGAAGTAGAATGTATCTAGAATCAAGATCAAATGCATTCTTTCCATCTTAGAACTATCTTAATGTGCATTATACCTGAACCATGACTTTCATGGTTAGTTCTTTTTTCAGAGTTTCTAATCACTTTTTAAGTTCAACTTCTCAGACATACATTTAACTGCATATGAGTAGTGTACCACTTTATTTCCAGGTTACAACCCTCTTAGAGCCGCTTACCATACTGATCTAATCTGAATTGATTACCATTTTTATTTCCTTCAGGTTCTGTTATTTTTCTTCTTTTTTATATCATTGGTTTTCCTCAAATGTCAGTTGATCCTTGGTTGTCCAAGGATGTGCCCTTTAACAACGGGAATATGTTCTGGAAAATGTTGTTAGGCAATTTCATCATTATGCAAACATCATAGAGTATACTTACACGAATATAGATGTATATAGTATAATATACATCTAGGCTATATGGCATACTGTCACATATGTAGTCCGTTGGTGACTTATGTGGTGCGTGACTGTAGTTAAGTATGAAGGTCTCTGTCATTTTTTTAGGGAGCTAATATAAATATTCTGTGTTTTTGTGTCTCCTATTTTCCCACTGTTCACACTAATAAGTGGGAAGATTGCCTGGAAGCTTTGTGATGTGGGTAGAATAAGTTAATCAACAGGCTGTCTTAGAGGGGTTTTGGTCAGATAGCCAGCAATTAAGCAGGGTATCTCTCAAATGCTAAAATTAAGAGGGTTTTAACGTGGGGTGCCAAATCCATTCTAGAATTAGCTTTCCCAGATAGTTCATTTGAATTTTTTAGAGGTAAGCCTTATGGATTTTTTTACCCCCAACAGTAAATATCCATCTACCAGCAGATTTTTGACAATGGTAAATATCCATCTACCTGCAGCTTTGAGTCTTAAAGTGACAGTGGAGACAACTGGTATAGCTGTTTCATGTACAGACCTTCAATCAGCCCCGTTGTCTACAGTCATTGTCTTCCAGCTCTTTTAAATTGCTAAGTCCTAATTGATATCCTTTCTAGGGTTTCAGTGACAAATCAGCTCTCTCATTGGAGCCCCTTTGAAGTGTATTTAGGCAAGTGTTCTATACAGTTTTGTTCAGTGGTATGCTACCATGTATTTGGTTTTCCATAAATGAGATAAAATTTCTTATTTGCTCATGAACTCCCTTCTGTCTCTTATGGGTTAAGTTTCTGTATTGTCATTTCAATGGAGTTTGGAGGACAGGAAGTAAAAATGTGTGCTCAGTCTATCATCTTGATACAACACACACACACACACACACAATTTGTTTTTATACATATCTTCTCTACTGAAGCTCCTCAAGGGCAAGGATGTATTGTAAAATGCCTAGCACAGTTCCAGGAATAGAATAGGATTTAAAGATACGTGCCTGGTTGGATTTGGATGTAAGACAAAAGACGTTACAAATGACAGAACTGCTTTAGCCTAGATGACAAGTGTTCTGATAGAAACCATCAAAGGAATAGATTTTAAAGAAAAAATTTTTATTTTAGTGTTGTAAATCAATAGTTGTACCCCAGCATAGGTTTTATAGCTTTGATAGAGGCCATAGAAGCAAATAATGGAAACTAGTTTACAAGACTTGATTAACTGAATCAAAGGTAGTCTTGTGTGCTTCACGCAAAATTATCAGGTAGACAGAGTCCTGATGCTATCAGAGAGAAAAGAGTGAAGTCATTTTAGCTCTTGGCTCTCACCCAACTTGGAATACTCCTTATCGGATAAGACCAGCTCTACCTATATTAGAGCACAATAAGGAACTACTACATTATTCCAGATATAGTGTACTATTGAACTTTAAGTCCTCAAGAGTAGGTATTCAATTAATATTTAATGACTGAATATATCCCTAACACCTGCTCACAACTCTGATTCCAGAGTTAAGAAATAAAAGTTTTATGGGCGAAAGCCAAATGAGCCAATTAGTGATACTTTAACTGGTAGTAGCTATTATTAAAGTGTCCGCTCCCAATCAGGAATTCAAAAAATACTTGTGAGGCTAATGAGATCATTAATTAATGTTAACTTTTTGAAACTTTAAAAAATGTCTGCTTTTAAAACAAAGGGTGGTATACAACCCTGTAAATATACTCAAAACTATTGAATTGTACACTTTAAACAGATAAACTTTATTTAAACTATATCTCAATAAAGCTGCAAGACAACAACAATAAAACTCACAAGGAAACTTTTCCAGGCCTTCTGAATTACTCTGGCAGCTCTATCCCTTTCTGTAAATTCCAGTTCCTGAATCCAAGGCATTTAATGTCCTAAAAGAAAATAAGCAAAAGGGGTATATCTAAAAATACTTTATGTACTCCATTATGAAACTGTCACTAGAACTCAATGGAAATTAAATAGCAAGTTGTATGAAAAAAATGTCACGTTAAATTTACAGTAGCAATATGGTTCTGAGATGCTTTATCATAATCTAAACTGAGTAAATTTTGCTTAAAATGTTAAAATTCTGAACTGTTATTTGTAAAATGCTAAATATAAAAGGATTTACAAATCCCAAAGCCCTGAAGTACTTAAACATATAACATACATCTACTAATATGTGCATTATAGAGAGACAGAGACCAAACAGAAAAACTGTGTAAAGGATAAGCCATTTATTAAGAGAAATGAGAGAAAAACCTATTTATATATATATCTATATATCTATATCTATATCTATCTATATATATATATATATAAATATATATATATATATATATAAAATCTTTAATTTGTCTTCTTTTTTTTAAAGAATTTACTGGGGGTTGGGGGAGGGAACAGCATTGGGGAATCAGGGAAAAGAAACAGACAAGTTGCTGTCCTTTTGTTCTTCAGTCTAGTTGTGGAGGACACCACTTCACTGGCCCATGTTGGTATTAGCATTGCGCTCTTCCCAGGTGAGATAGATTAGTCACTGGCCACTGGATGGTAGCTCACTCCAGCTGCAGGCCGCTCACGCTGGCTGCTGGCCACTCAGGTAGCTTACGCAAGCCCACTGCAGCAGGGGCTGCAGACTACGCCATGGCTAGCGACTCACGGCAGCGCAGCTCCAGGTCGAGCTGTTGTTCACCATCTTAGCTGTAGAGGGCACAGCATCACTGTCCCATGTGGGATCCGAACTGGCCGCCCTGCTGCTCAAAGCTCATGCTCCCCAGCCAAGTCTTCCACAAGACAAGCAAACATTTCTAACACATTTTAACGTGGTAAACCAGTGAGCTCTTGCAATACAAGTAGTTTGTTTCTGGAACAAATTATGCTTACAAACCAAGGTATTACTGTATATTCTTTCTAGCTAGCAGGTGGAGAAGGAAATAGTATAGTTTATCTGTGTATTTCAGGACACTTCAGGAAAAAAAAGTTTTCCTTGTGAATAGTGTGGTAATCAATTTTAATAATTTTTAAGGACACTGTCACTATTTCTATCATTAAAAGAGATAAATACAGAAGATAACTTTGCCACCTGAGCTTTATCATAACTTTAAAAATCATATCAAAATTTTAATTTAAAATGTGAGGAAAAAATAGAAAAATAATTATACTGAATTTTGAAACATGGTGGTTACCTCAATTCATTACTCTTATGTTTTCCTGTTCATGTCCTTTTTCACTGACCAACATACAAAATACAGGTATTTGGTTATTCACAAATAACCACAGAATCAGGATAATATTTAAACAGCATTAGAAATATATGTATATATCACTCCCTATTTAACATCTAATTACTGTTTAAAATCCAAAATTATTCATATTACCACTTAGATTTATTTAGTTTAAAAGTTATGTAAATAACACATACATTCTTGTAGTAAAAATTTCAAACAATATAGAGCTGTACAGTAAAACCCATTTCTTCTAGCCCAGTCCTCTTGAAAGGTAATCTGTTAATAGATGTGTGATTCATACAGATCTTTTCTAATATACTTAAATTTTAACAATGTATATATATATATATATATATATACATATATATACACACACACACACATACACATGCTTATATATATTACATATATACACATATACACACACACATATCATACAGGATTATTTGTTTGCATTAATGTAACTATACATATTTTCTGCTTTCTTTACCTAACAATGTGTTGGAGACTTTTCCATATTAATACATATAGATCTTCCTCATCCTTTTTATAGTTGCACAGTATTCCCAAGTATGGATATGTCATAATTTGTTAACTCTTTATCATTTGACATTCAGATTGTAATTGTATCAATAATTACAATTACAAAATGAATATCCTTAGACATCTATTTGTGTATATGTGCAGCTATTTTTGTTAGATACATTTTTAGAAGAGGAATTGCTGTGATATATATTTTTTGCATTGACTCTCTGGAAGAGGATACAAGAAACTGCTGTCAGTGATTGTCTCTGGGATGGTGCCAGGGGACTAAGGGACCTTGGGTTTAGGAATGAAAAGATTATTTCAACATACTTTCCTGTATTGTGTAATTTTGTTTTTACAGTGTTCATGTAGTTCAGATATATTGGGTTGTCGGAAAAAGTCATAACAATAAATAAATAAATTAAAAAAAAAAAAAAGAAAAGTCATGACGTATTTTTTCTATGTTTTTCGTTGCAAAAATGCGCCATGACTTTTCCAACAACCCAATATATAGCTTCATAAAAAAGAATAGAGTGTGCACATTAAAATTTTGACACAGCCAAACTGTCCTCATAAATGTTAATTTACACCTATAAACATTCTACTAGAGTGCTCAATTTCTAGATTTTACAAAAGTGAAAAACTAAACATAAATGAAACATTAGCACTATTGTGGGTCTTTTCATATTCTTTCCAATAATTGTTTTACTCCTGTTATCCTGCATAAGTGATTTAAGGTATAAAGCAGTGTGTGTGTGAGATTGCACAGGATAGCATAAGTTCTAATTCATGCAAATTGCATAATTTTCCCAAATACATTCTCAACTTTGTAGGTAAAATTTTAAACTAGGTTTTAAAATCCCTTTTAATTGTGTGTACATGTCTGAACGAGTTTTATTGGCACTTTGACTTAAATAATTTCACTTAGGTTTCCTCACACCTGCTTCCTGCTTCTCATGTGATGAAGGCTAAAGGTTGTTAGACGCTGACAAATCAGTATCCTTGTATGTGTATTTGTTAAACTTATTTACTTTCTATCTCCTACAATGTAAGTTCCCTTAGGGCAGACTCTTTTCTTGCTTATTGCTATATCCCCCATTTCTAGCAAATAGCAGTGATCAATAAATATTTGCTGGTTAACTGAATAGGAGATTGGTTAAATAAATTATGATGCATTCTTACAATAGAATCCTGTCAGAATATTAAGTGATGCTGTAAATGTACACATTAACATGGAAAATGTTTCATATCATAATGTACAACTTGTAAGGAGCAGTTTGTTAAACAGTTATCTGTAATAAGCTATTTCTGTTAGCTTCTCCCTCCCCTGTTCAAATATGTGTGTATAACCATGTGCGTATGAGTGTAATATGAATCTTATTGTGGTAATAGAATTAAGGAAGAATTTAAAATGTTTATTTTTGCTTGTTTCTATAATGAACATGTTCTACTTGAATAATAAGCATTTTTTAAAATTAGTTTTGTCACCAGTAAGAGAACAATTCATTGCAGGCTTGACCTGCAAAGTTAGCAAAAATACAGTGGGGGAGGGATAGGGCATGTGGGGAGGGGGTGGCTCTCCTGTAGGTGGATCTCTAAAAGTTGTCCTACTTGGAGCGTGGTCCATAGACCTATGCCAGTCTCTGAACTGCATGTTTCCCAAAGAGATAAAGAAACTGAAGGTAGTTACAAACTTAGAGCAATTTGACATTGCTGTGGCACACAAACACATGATCTCTGGGCTTACAGTTTGTATATCTTTATTATCTTTCCTTTCTCTTGTAATTCATTTTTATTTTATTTTATTTTATAGAAGGTTTGCAACACTTTGGAAATAAATTTTTAAAAGGTTTTCACCACTGAATATTGCTCTGAAGTGTAGTCTTGGGATTAGGCCCAGGAGTTACATTCAGCTGGATTCCTGTAATGTCAATAGCATCTGCTTAACCTTCTAGGAAATGGAATCTATACACCAATACCTGATACCCCTGGACATATATCAGACACCACTTGTAATGATCTTAACTTTGCTTAAGGATATTGTACTTACTGTTGCTTCAGTCTCCTTGTTTGGACTGGGCTTAGTATGGTGTGTAGGGAATCAGAGGCAGATTTTCACATTTCATTAATTATCATGCAGCAATTAAAAAGTATCTTAAATAAGTATTTATTGGGGAAAATAATACAATAAGTAACAAAGGAGTCTAAACATTATACTCATTACATTAATTCATTATCGTTTAATCAAAAACCTGAGTGAAATGGAGTGAGCCAGTTCATATTCAAAGATATAAATAGGCTTTCTAGGCAAATAGAATAGCAAGCGTGAAGGCAATGAAACAGGAAGCTGAACAAGAAGGCCAGTGTGACTGGAAACAGCTAGAGAGAAGAGTAGCAGGAGATAAAAGCAGAGAGGTAGTGGAATCGCGGATTACATAGTGCCTTCAATTGTAAAAAGCTAAAATTTAAGTGTCATGGAAGTTAGACCAGAGGAGTAACATGATCTGACTTTTTTTTTTTTTTTAAGTATCACTCTGAACGGGGGTAAAAGAAAACAAAAAAGCTGAGCTATTATCACTGTGACTCAGCCATGAATATTTATACAATACCAAAATGTATGATACAATGACAGTAATACCCCATAATTATATACCCTATGATGCCACCCATGATGATATGAATTTGGATATAACATTATTGGTGACTGGCTCCTCGTTTCCAAAGCAGACTTACCCTGGATATTTTTTACTATTTTGGAATAACTCAACCTATACTGTAGGCAGTTAAATTTTTGGAACCTACTTAGTGTTATGGCAGGATTTTTTTTTTTAATTAGCAAGATGAGGATCAGTATGTGTATGTATATATGTGTGGTGTGGTGGTTTGGTGTAAGAGAGCTAAACTCTCATTTTATATTATAGGAAGTTACCAGAAATAGCAAAATCTAAAAGAAATCAAGAACAAGTAGAATAACATGTTATTTAAAATATAGAGGTAAAAACCAAAAGAAGTGCATGTGCAATGAAGGAGATAAAACAGAGTAGTGGGATAAAGAATGACAGGGGTACTTTAGCACAAGTAATCAGGAAAGGCCTCTCTATCTAATGAGGAGACATTACTTTTCATGATGCAAAGAGGCAATGATGGGAAAATGGTAGAAGGTAGTTCCACGCACAGGGAACAGAAAATAAAAATGCCTTGAGATAAGGAGCTTGGTGTGCTGGAGGAAAGAAAACAGTGTCAGTGGAAGAGAAGAGGCAGAAGAGTGGAAGATAAGGCCAAAGGAGCCAGGCTATAATTATATGGGAAACTGACTGGCATGGTTTGGAAGGTGCACTGCAGCTTGCTTGTACTGGCTCAGTAGAGCCAAATTTTAAATTTTAAAGAATTATGTCAGCTGGTTTTTAAACAGCATTATTAATTTAAACTTACAATTAAATAAAGGTAATAAATACTCAAAACTCATCATGGACTAATTATTTTACTATTGAAGGGGAGACTATACCACCACAAAATGTGCCACTTTGGCATGAGGATTATTTTGACCTGAAGGCAACTGAGAAACAGCAGATGCAGGAAAAGCTTTCTCCCCTTCCTCTAGCTGCCTAAAAGCAGGACGTTGTTTCCCTTCGTGAAGGTGTTCCTTCTCTCCCTTCCCATAACAGGAGGAGGAAAAGAACCATCATCACTGGCACTAAGATGGGTCTGCACACTGAGATGGGTTATTTATGTAATTTATGTTATTTATTACATAAATAACCCTTATCTTCCATTAATTTACCCCCAAACCTCTCTTCGTCTTGTCACTTCACAAACTTATCACCCTTTGTTAAAATGGTATACGATAGTACCAGCCTCTTTGGTTTTTCACTTCCTTTTCTGTGTGCATGTAAAATTAAAATATTAAAATCAAATAAAATCGTATGCCTTTTCTCCGGTTAATCTGTCTTTTGTCAGTTTTATTTGCAGGCTCCAATCATAGAACCTAAGAGAGTATAGGAAAAGGTTTTCCTCCCCATCACTATATTTTACTATCATTGTACTTATTTTCCTAAACTTATTATGTTTATTGCAAGGTTTCTCAAAAGTGGCACTATTGCTATTTTGAGGTGGGTTCTTTGTTGTGGGGGTTGTCCTGTGCATGGTAAGTTTAGCAGAATCCCTGGCCTCTACCCACCAGACATCAGCAGCACAGTTGTGACAACCAAAAATACCTCCAGGCATTGCTAAATGTCGCCTGGGGAGCAAAACCACCCACAATTGAGTACTACTGGTCTCTGCATATTATCTACTGGTATCTGTCTGCATGGTGCTCCACATCTCTTCTCATTTCCTGAGGCCATTACTGTAACTTGAAATTGGCCAGGATGGGAGTATTTACATCACAGAAACTGACGAACACCACAAATCAGGGCTTGACTTATTGTTTTGTTGGTTGTCCAGATTTAAGAAAGTAGCGGTGAAAATGTAGTGCACACTAACTTGTATGTCACCATTACATCATGAATAGCACAAGATATTGATGACCTATCTTTTTCAGTATTCAAACTTATCTGTTCAAAAATGAGTCATTCGCATTACTGAGGAATAATTAAGTTCTACATATTTCAAGAAAGAGAAAGGTGTTCAGCTGTGTCAAATGCTGCTGGGGGGTCAAGTATGTTGAGAGTAAAGAATCAGATCTGGGCAGATCAAGTTGCTGGTAGCCTTGGTAAGTGTTGTTTCAGTGGAGTAGCAAGGAAGAAAGCCTGGGATGGGTTGAGGAAGTGGGAATGTTAAGAAAGTTGGGTATAGTAATAATTCTTTTAAGTGCTGTAAGGGAGAAGAGATATGGGGTGGTCGCTGCATGGCAGGCATGGATTAAAGGGGTTTGTTTTTTTGAATACGGGAGCTATTAAGGCATGTCAGGTTGATGTTAGGTGTGATCCAGTAGTGAGGGAGAAATTAAGGGAGGGATAAATTGAAGGGTAAAAGTCCTTTGAATGGGTTTAAGAGGACATGGTCCAGAGAAAAAGGCGGGTAGGGTCAGTTGATGGCCTTAGACAAAAATACTGATGTCATATGGTTACTACGAGGCTCCAAATAAATTAACCAATGTGAGACTATTTCATAAATTCTAAGACACTAAAAAGTACTGTCAAACCACTGTTCAGGTAATGAAAGATTTTTACTACACCCAGGCTCTACTTGCAGATTCAGAGATAAAAGGTTTTTATCTACCCCTAATCAATAGCTTTCATTATATCATGGTTCCGCTGATCTAGTCAGGCTTCATGAGAAAAAGCTTAAAAGACAAAGCTTTAGATTCTCAGTTCCATTGGCTTTAAAAGTTGTAAAATAGTATTAAAATTAATATGCTGGGATCAGAACCTATACTGAATGAGTTTCATGATCTTTACAGGTTTTGTAATTTCGCCTTTCTTATTTCCCTGTGGTCCTTTATACCGAGGACAGATGAGGACCTACTCCGCAGAAACGCCTTTCACTTTCCCACCTCTAAATAACGAAATGAAAACCATTTCATGGGTCGAACAGAAAAAAAATTCCAGAAAAAAACGTGTGGTAAGCCATCAAGTATTTCCCCCACCGCCTGAAAGTGAACGAAATAGTATCTTCGCAGAGGTGCAAAGAGTGAGGAACTGTGATCGCGCAGACAGTCAGGGAGCTCTTTTCAACTAGAGCGACCCGAGTGCACCGAGGGCGGGGACAGGAAGCGCGGGGGAAGGGACTAATCCTGCGCCAAGACTGAAAGCTAGGGGGCTTCTGAAAAACGAAACCTCCTTAAGGGGGTTGCATGGGGCGCGGACCTCAACGGCATGGGACCTTTAGGGCCCTGAAACAGGGCAGGTTCAAACCAGTCACCAAAGAAGCGAGAGGAACAGGTGTAGTACGGCCTGAGAGGGAGGGAACACCATTACCCTCACCTGCCAAGCCGCGGGCCCAGGCTCCGCTTGTTTCCTCGGTAACACTGCAGACGGAAATTATGTAACTCTAGTTCCGTTCCTTCCGGCCTGGACCTCTTAGCTCCGCCTCCCAGCCTCTCCCCTCGGCCCCGCCCCTGGGCCCTGATCTTTCCTCCACCTCCGAGTTCTGATTCAAAATCGTGAGATGTGAAGGTGGTTGAAACTATTAGAAGCCATCACTGTGGCAGATTGTCGATTGCTTTCGGGCAAAAGATATTGGAAGGGAAACTGCAGTGATTTTCTGAGAAATTGGGCTCAATATATTATAAAGCCCGGTCACTTCAAGGACTTTGAAGAGTAATATAGTAGCAAAATCTTTTCTACTTAATTAACGTATTCATTCATAAATAAGAGAACTGATCTTTCCAATGATTTGACATGTCTTGCTCAGGATCAAAGAGTAAGTGACAAGTGACTGCAGTCCAACGCTATTTCTAAATTTAAACTCATTAGCTGGTAAAGCCTAAACCAATTTCTAAGTGAAAACAGATGACCTCTTAAATGAATTTCCAGATAACTTTAAATAATACAGGTACTGCAGATCTAAAGCAAGTTTGATTTGCTTAAGATCTAAATATCTCACACTCTGAGAATGCTTTAGTTTGTCACGGATTATTGCAATGTCAAATCACCTTGTTCAGAAGCAGCCCAGTTCTGCTATTTCCCTCTTATGCTCCTGCAAGTAAGACAATTAGTTTGTAAGGAGGATGAACATCTAGGGGAGAAAACACCAGAAGAAAAATTTCCCTACTTAATAAAAACATTTGTATAGAAGAAATTCCCTGTAGGCTAATTCAGTGACTCACTGAGCTTCCAGAGTTCTTTAAAATCGTTATCACATCATAATAAGCAGGAAGGGTGAGTTTTAGTTTTCTTTCATGTAGTTACCTGGGTGCATTAATACACAATAGCTTTGAAAAATAACCTGTAAAAATATAGTCATGGAAAGATTATGTATACTTGTACTTAATTTTTTAATCTAGTAAAAACTAGGTATAAAAATTTAAATTCAAAACTACAAAATTGCACAACAATGTTGGATGTACTCAATGCCGTTGAACTGTATTCTTTTTTTTTTAAGATTTTATTGGGGAATTGGGGAAGGGGAACAGTGTTAGAGAATGGGGGAAGGGGAACAGCCAAGTTGTTGTCCTTCGATCTTAGTTGTGGAGGGCGCAGCTAGCTCAGCTCCAAGTCCAGTCGCCATCCTGTTGCCCGTCGTTAGCTCGAGGCACCTTAGCTCAAGGTGCCATGTTTAATCTTAGTTGAGGGTGGGCATAGCCCACCATCCCATGCAGGGAGTCAAACTGGAAACCTTGTTGCTAAGAGTGCATGCTCTAACCACCGAACCATCCAGTCGCCCATCGGCGGTTCACAGCAGCTAAGCTCAAGGTGTCATGTTCAATCTTAGTTGTGGATGGAGCCTTGTTGTTAGAAGCACATGTTCTCACCAGCTGAGCCATCCTGTCACCTGTTGGCATCTCAGCGGTAGCTCACTTCAGGCACAGCTCACTGGCCCATGTAGGAATCAAACCAGTGACCCTGTTGCTCAGTGCTCGCGCTCTTAACCAACTGAGCCACTTAGGCCGGTCCTAAACTGTATTCTTAAAATGGTTAAAATGGTAAGCATATGCATACTTTACCACAATTTTAAAAATTTTAAATTATGAAACTAAACCAGTAAATAATTCAGAAAAAATATTTCTAAATGTAGAGAATAAAATATAAAAATACATTAAAAGGATACTATATATATAACTTTATATACATAACTTTAAAATAAGCCCTACACATTTTTTATGAATTCATTTTGTTTCCTTATCTTTGTCTTTGCCTTCTGACTGGAAAGCAAGAATATTAATTTTATAAATATAATATTACATATTATATAACAATAAGAAAAACAAGAGAGAAAATAGAAGAGGAGGAGAATAAGGAAACTGATCATGAAAAAGACTAAGCACATGATTGGAGGATTGGGACTTTCAACTGTTCAAATTCCTAGCAGAGGAGGAGGGCTAAGAGATTGTGTTCAATCACATGGCCAATGATTTAATTAATCATGCCTACATAAGACCCAAAAAACACTGTGGATGCTAAAGCTCAGTGGAGCTTCCTGATTGGTAAACACATTGATGGACAGGGAGGTGATATACCTTGACTCCCCAGGGAGAGGGCATGGAAGTTCTGTGTACCCCCACCCCCCCAGACCTTGCCCTATATGTATCCTTTAAATTAAACTGTAACAATTAAGTATGGTATTTTCCTGGGTTCTATGAGTTGTTCTAGTGAATTATTGAACCTGAGGTGGGTCATGGGAACCCCTGAATTTGAAGCCAGTTAGAAGTGCGGGTGGCCTGGAGACTTCACTTGTGGCTGGTGTCTGTAAGGGTAGTCTTATGAAACACTGAACCCTGAAACCTGGAGAGTCTGATGCTAAATCCAGGTGGGCAGCATCAAAATTGTATTGAAGTATACCCAATTGAGGGTGAAAGAGAACAGGTAGCTCACAAAAATATTCCACTGTTTCTAAAGCTCTGCTTCTCTTCACTTCTGTCTGTCATGACAATTAAGTTCACAATCTCATCCTAGAAAAAGTGCTATATACTTCATTGATGAATATCACTATGGTCACCTTCAAAGTACTCCCCTTGGGAAGCTATGCACCAACGTCAGCGCCTAGTCCACTCTTCAAAGCAATTTTGGAACTCTTTTTCTGGAATAACCATTAGAGCTGTCAACGTATTACCCTTGATATCCTGAATGTCATCAAAATGTCTTCATTTCAGTATTTCCTTTATCTTTGGGTAAAGAAAGAAGTCATTGGGGGCCAGATCAGGTGAGTATGGAGGGTCTTCCAATATAGTTATTTGTTTACTGACTAAAATCTCCCTCACAGACAGTGCCATGTGAGCTGGTGCATTGTCATGATGCAAGAGCCATGAATTGTTGGCGGAAAGTTCAGGTTGTTTTTGTCTAACTTTTTCATGCAGCCTTTTCAGCACTTCCAAATAGTAAACTTAGTTAACTGTTTGTCCAGTTGGTACAAATTCATTATGAATAATCCCTCTAATATCAAAAAAGGTTAGCAACATTGTTTTGACTGTTGATTTGGACAGACGGAGCTTTTTTGGTCGTGGAGAATTGGCTGACTTCCATTGTGCATTTTGATGCTTTGTTTCAGGGTCGTATTGGTACACTCATGTTTCATCACCAGTGATAACATGGCCCAAACCATCATCTTGCCTCTCTAAAAGGTCTTGGTAAACTTTGACTCTCCTTTGCTTTTGCGCATTGGTGAGCTCCTTTGGGAACATTTTTGCACACTTTTCTCATGCCAAGATTTTCCTGTTTCTCTATCGATGTTTACTTGGTCTGCTATGCTTCTCACAGTCAGTCAATGATTTTGACTCACAATTTGATGAATTTCTGCCATGTTTTCATCAGTTCTGCTCATTACTGGCCACCCTGACCTCTCTTCATCAGTGATGTGTTCTCTCCCCCTAGAAAACGTTTAATCCATTTGTACACTGCCATTTTTTCCATGGAATTATCCCCATAAATTTGGACTAACATGTCGCTGATTTCACTTCCACTCTTGCCAAGTTTAACAAGAAGTTTAATGTTTGTTCATTGCTCTAATTCAAGCTCAGACATTCTCGTGAGAGCACACAAAAACACGCAGCAACAATAATGAACGCCACTCAGCAAGACATCAACATGAACACAGCTGTGAGATGCTGATATACCAGGGTTATGAAACCTTACCAAGCTGTTTGTACAGTGCTGCCAATGTAAGCACACAGTGGCAAGTTTGTGGACTTCATTGTCTGTCTATGTATCTCCCAGTACATAAGCCATCTGTCATATCTCCCTCCACATATTTCCCCTCCCCTTTTCTGCTTCCAGAATTTGCTATTTCTTCCTATAGAATAAACAAACCACAGTCTCTTATTGTCCTTGTGCCTAAGAATGTTGCAGTGTTGGTGATCAGAGTATAAAGTTTACTGGCTTGCTCTTCCATGCAACTCTACAGTGAGAGCTTGGCTTAGAAAAGATCAAACTTTGATCTTGGTAACTGGAATGGCTCCACAAGAGGTTGGTATGGGTGGGAGCAGCAGTGGTTGGGTAAGGGTAAGCTGTGGCTCTGTGAATAAAAAAAGCATTTTTATTCTAGCAATGTTTTCCTCAACTATTTGAAATCAAACATACCTCACCACCACAAGGATGATTTCCTTTCCTCAAAACTAGAAACTTACGTTTCTTCTAACCTTGGCCTTATTATGCCAGGGGAGCATTTTTTTCTCTCCCTGCCTGTTATGGATGGAAAGTTAGTACCCATCCTCCCCGCAACTAATATGTTGAAAACCCAATCCCCAGTGTGATGGTATTTGGAGATGGGGCCTTTGGCAGGTAATCAGGTCATGAGGGTAGAGTCCTCATGATGGATTAGGGCCCCAGGAGAGCTCGCGCTCTCTCTCTCTCTCTCTCTCTCTCTCTCTCTGCCGGCACATTGATCTTGGACTTTCAGCTTCCAGAACCATGAAAAAGAAATGTTTGCTGTTTAAGTCACCCAGTCTATGGTATACAAGTATTTGTTATAATGACAACCTGAACTAAAACACTGCACAGATTGTATTTTTACCTGAAAAAACTGAAACTAAGGGTGTCAAGCTAAAATACATTTCCTCTAATGCTAGATTTTTACTCATTAGGGATTGAGTGGTAGTGGTAGAAGTTATGGTTCATTTATTCATGAAGACTTTAATGGAATTAAAATGACCCAATACAGTTATAGAAATACCAGGGCTATTAGTGGTTACAATCTTTTTTTAAAAACAAAATTTTTCAAAATTTTATTTACAAAATTTATTTTAAAAGTGTATATAATATATTCCGTGATATAAAATTCTAGACATAGTAGATTTTAAAAGAGCATAATGGAAAATATAAGTATCCACTTTCTTTTCCTATGTATATCTTTTGAGCATTTACTGTCTCTTGCTAGGTTTGCATTTTTCTTATTTTATAATCAGATCCATACTTAC